TCACACCACGAGTGAGCCGGTTAAGCTAATTATTTTCCTATCATATATATATATATATATATATATATATATATGCGCACAAACAATTATACATAAAAGTAAAAAATAATCAGAACAATTATATCACAGTATATTTAAAAATCAAAAATATTTTGATAATTTTGCAAACCCAAATAGTATTAAAAAGCAAACACATAAAGGAGTAGATATATTAAATATGAGCCAATTCACATAAACGACATGCCAGAATTTTATACATACAACTATCTTAAACTGCAAATGAGAAAGAAGATAAACTACTTAAATATGACACTTGCAAAAACTAGAAAACAACTTTCACTCGTCTGGACAATAACTGTGTAGTCTGTCCTAGTGACAATAACACATATAGTATATTCAGCTTACAAACACTCTTATTCTTTTATCAAAGTGATCTGGTTGGCTTGACGCACCACCAGATATACAGAGAAAGAAAATAAGGGTTGCAGAGAGATTACAAAAAAGGTAGGAGAGAGAGATGGATGCAGAAGTACAGAGAGATTTCAGAAAGATATAGAAGAGAAGGAAAGAGTTGTAGAGGCGTAGAGCGGTTACAGAGAAACATAGAAGAGAGAAGGAGCTGTAGAGGTGTAGAGAGGTTACAGAGAGCATTGAGGGGGAAAACTTTGATGCCCTCAATCAGTCCTCACCTCCTTATTTTATAGCCATCCCATCTAAAGGCGAAGTTCAAGTTGTTTCAAGTCCATCTGGTGGCTGCAGTGTCGGTGGAAGAGACAGGTTGGTGGTCACCGTAAAAGGTGTCGGTGGCAAAGACAGGTTGGCGGTCACAGTAAAACGTGTCGGTGGAAAAGACAGGTTGGTGGTCATAGTAAAAGGGGTTGGTTGAAAAGACAAAAATAGTGTTTTACTATTTTGTCGATATTTTGTTTTATTTTGGGGACACGTGTGTTGTATGATCTGCAGTCGTTCCGTCCCTTTTTTGGCTTTATTGTGATAATTCATAATCCATGTCTTCATTTTCTTGCTCATAGTTTTCTTCATTCTGGGTTGATGTTGACATGGCCTCTTCTTCTTCTTTAAATATCTCTGGTATCTTTTTCTTGAACTCCTCCTTAGTTGCCTTTGAATATTTTTGACAGATTTTATTTTTATAGTTAATCATATTCATATCTGTATCAGAAGGTGGAGATGGTACTTTCCTCATTCTTATTTTATCAGGACTTAAAGAAACATTTTCATATACATCCCACCATTTTATGTATATTTGATTTCCTAGCTCAGGAAGGTATTCCCAATTATTTTTATAATTATTAGACAAATGGAAGGCGAATACCTCATACCATGTTTTTATATATTCGAAGTATTGATAATATTTATTACAGAATCCTTTTGCTTGTATTTATCGGGGTTTCAGAGGGTCAGAACCCCATTCTTTATATGAAATTATTTTTCGTATTTGCTATTGTATTGATATTCTTTTTATAAAAATGGATCACCGTTAATGATCCTGTTTCGATAAGAGTAGTCTCATACCACTCTCTGGTTTTCTCTCCATTATTGGGATGAAGATGATTCTTCAAGTATATTGTGGCTATTTCGACAGGGTCCTTGTCTTTGTGGTCATCTTCTATTATGGTAATAGTTATAAAGGCGGTTTCTAAGAATCTACTCTTTTCACCAGGCTTATTTATAGCTAGTGGTATAGGTTCAGGTGAAAAAGTTATTTCTTGGGCTCGTTTGGATTGTTTTGGGTTTACTGGTGATGATGAGGATGCTAAGGTTTTATTTGGGACTGGAATAATTTCCATAGGCCCTTTCTTTGAGAGACTCATGTTGCCCTCCCTGCAAAAATTCACAGGTCAAAAAGTCAGGAAGGTAATTGGTGGTTCCTTTAATATGTTCAATATCAAATTCGAAAGATGAGAGTATACCTTGCCACCGTGCAAAGATTTGTTTTGAGACAAGATTTTTTACCTCGTTTTGGGGTATGTCTTTGGCAACCTTGCAATCAGTACGTATTAAAAAATTTTGATTGAGGAGATCACTCTGAAACTTTGTCACACAATGAACAACAACTATGATCACTTTTTTAACAGTAGAATAGTTTTGTTGAGTTAAATTCCAAGTTTTTGAAGTAAAGCGCACTAATTGCTCTTTATTCTCGATTCTTTGTTTTAATATTCCTCCTAGCCCTATTTCCGAAGCATCACATTCAATGATTTTGAAAGCAGTTGGATCAGAGAGTGTAAGACAGGGTAAAGATTTTGCTTTTATTTTTATTTTTTGGACAGCTGAAGTACGTAAATCCATCCATTCCAGAGGGTTTTTCTTTAATCTTTGGAACAAGGGCTTTGCGTCGATTGCCAAATCTTTATAAAAATTAGCTATATAATTAAGGCAGCCAAGAAACCTTTGAAGCTCAGTTTTATTGGTAATAATGTCAGGGAATTTATTGGCAAAGTCAATGGCTCTATCTATAGGGATAATCCGTCCTTGAAAAATATTGTGTCCCAAAAACCTGATTTTTGTTTGATAGAGGCTAATCTTTTTAGCAGAAACTACTAAGCCAACTTCTTTAATTGTTTTATATGTTGCTCTAGATTTTGTGAGAAAACTAGAGCATCATCAATATATACAATCATATATTTTGTATAAAGATTAAAGATATCATTCATAATATTTTGAAATTCTGAAGGGGTATTTTTTAAACCGAAAAGCATTACATTCTACTCATATTGTTCGAAGGGAACATTAAAAGAGGTTTTATAATGATCTTTCTCTGCTAATTGTATCTGCCAGTATCTTGATTTTAAATCAAATTTTGAAAAGATACAGGCATTAACAAGTCTTTCTAATAGATCCCTTTTATTAAGAATAGGATATCTTATCCATTTTAAAGCTTTATTGAGGGGCATATAATTGATAACTAGTCTGGGTGCACCTCTTTCTATTTCAGGAGCCTTTTCAACATAAAATGCTAAACAACTCCAAGGAGAAGAGCTGTTTCGAATAAGCTTTTTTTTAAGTAACTCAGCAATCTCTTTTTTACAAATTTCCAGAAGTCTAGGGTTCATCTGAATGGGCCTAGCCTTAGTAGGAATCTTTTCTTCATGGAAATTAGTTTCATAAGGCAAACTAACAATATGCCTATGCCTATTCCAGAAAGCATTTGGGAGATCAGCACAAATTTCCTTTTCTATATTATTTTAATATTTTCTATTATTTTTTCATTTTCAAGAAGCAAAAGTTTTGTTTCTATTGTTTTATACTTTATTTCTTCTTCAAGGTAATATAAAATTTTTTCCTTATTAGAGATTTTTTCCTTTATATTATTTATTTCCCTTAATTTTGGTTTTTCAGTAAAACTAAACTTTACCTCGTGTCCTTCAATATTGGCTTTATTTCATGTACTATCAATTGTTATAGGATAAAGCATATTTAAAAAAGGAGTTCCTAATATTACAGACTGACTTAAGCCTTTAACCATGATAAAAGGAAACTCGAAGCATTTACCATTATTACAAATTGCAGTATTAGAAAGTTTATAATTAATTATCATTTTGCTGCCATCAACTGTATTTAGGACTTTGGTCGTTTTGCTAAAATATTTAGTCGGGACAAGTCCTTCATTTATACAATTTAAATCTGCCTCTGAGTCAATTAGGGCCGTGGTTTTAAAACTGGATTCTTTATGGACAATTATTTCTATTATGGTAAATCATTTTTGGATAATTACTTTATCAAGGAGACTAACATAATTACAATCCTGGATTGTATTCATGTTAGAAGATTCTGGCATAATGATGCTCTTAGAAAATGTGGTTTCTTCCTCGGGTGTTAGAGGATTTTTATATTCTTGTATAAGGTTACTGAATTCTATTTCATCATTATTAGGTTCATTATTGTCAAGTAAAGGATCATAGGTCATTTCTATAATTTGGACTTCATTTATTTAAGCTTATTAGCTCATTACGAACTTCATTCATTTCCTACCTTAATTCAGACAAATAAAGTTCTTTATTTTGATCTTTTTTACTTTCCACCCATTGGAGGATATTAGCAAAACTATAATCTTCTCTTGTTCGTACAAGAGGAGTCGCAATTTTATTTGTTTTAGCCATATTTATATATTGGACTAACGCTTCTCGTT